CCCCCTCCATGCCGACTCAAAAGGTGGCTTTGTCCGAGACACTAGCAAGTGTCTCGGCAAAAGGCCAAACTCCGAAGCTAAGTCCCTTTTAGTCGACTTGAAAGGCGGTGTCAGTCAAAACGCCTTGAGTCGACTCGAAAGCTTCCTATCTCGTCAGACGACTCCCAATATTGTAAGGAACTAAAGAGAAGATCCAACGATCTTTGCGACGCTTTGACAAAAGTCAATGAATCTCTTCAACTCAAAAATCAACTAAGGAATGCCCAAGAAGCGCATCACACAAGTTTGAGACACATGACATGTCATGGAAGCTATGAGGAAGCTCATAGTTTTCGAGATAGTGTTCACTGTCTCGGAAGTTATGCGACAACTCATAGTCTCCGAGACAGTGGCGACTGTCTCGGAAACTAGAGTGGACTTAACGACGATTTTCTCGAGTTTTGTGCAATCTATGTGGCTTAATAACTGCTGGGGTCATCCATAAATGTGAGGGAGCTGTTACAAGCGAAAATCACGTCCATAAACACAGGAATAATAGCAACTAAATGGGGGTGGGAGCGGTTATGAAACTGCCTGAAGCAAGCCATACTTCCGAGACAGTTACGACTGTCTCGGAAATGGGAGTCACTTAACATGATTCATTTTCGACTTCAACCTTCAGTTACAGCTTCTAGGGGCTATAAATACTTCCCTAACGCCTATCTGGAGAGAAAAGGGGAGAGTGGGCGACGCAGGACGAAGCATACCAAGGCAAAGAGAGCAGAGACTTGAGTTATTTGGGGAATCTTTAGCAAGAGAGAGAGTCTTCATTGTTTTTAAGCACTTCCAAGAACCTTCGGTGTTTCCTCAAGATCTAAGCTTTGACTTGATCTTGGGAAGAGTGTTTTATCTTACTTTGTTAAAATATCCACTTTTGTCTTTGTTTCTAAAACAAAACATCGACCTTAAGTCTTCTTCATGATTCAATTCGGATCTGTGATTTGGTCGTCCACGGGCTAACGCACCCCCGACACAGATAAAGATCCCACGTAAGCAGCGAATGATAAACGTTCCTGCGTGTGTTTCTAAGGAGCACTTCTAATCTTATTTTGTTGTAAAGAGTAGTTTTACAAAATATAACTCTTTTGTTTCCATTGTAATCGATAAGCATTTGTCACAGATTCTGTAATGAAATTTGTTCTCGACGCAAACACTCTGTTGTACGTTCTTTAGCAGAGACATGACTTTTTGAGATCAGTAGTGCCAGCTTCGCTAACAAGTACTATCGCAGAATCTACAAACATGTTTGCTCTCGTCACATAGAGTAGACAGACAACTAGTCGAGTGGGTGGTCATGGTGGAGGTCGCTTTGGTGGACATGGAGGACGCTTTGGAGCATGTAGTGGATGAGGTGATAGTTCACAAGGAGTTGTAGGGGAGGGTTCATCTGATCCGTCTGTCTATTGTCATTATTATAAGGAACTGGGTCACATGAAATTTATTATCCTTAGCTACAGGGAAAATAACCTCAGAGTGCACATGTGGCTACACAGAAGAGTCCTGTGGATGAAGACAAGCGCCGTCAGTTTGAACGGTTTCAGCTCTAGTTATTTTAGCAAATGAAGAATACTCAATCCTCTCCTACTACGACTATGCTTGCCCAGACATGTAAACCCATTGCTTGCTTTACATCGTTATCGTCTCATACTTGAGTTATAGATTCAGTTGGACTGGGAACCGAGGTATATTATCCTCCTATACACCTACTATTTCTTTTCCTTCAGTAGTATTGGCTAACGGATCCAGCACACCTGTGGAGGGTAGTAGATATGCCAACACTGATATTCTTCCACTTTTTCTGTGCTATATCTTTCTCGTTTTGCATTTAATCTCTTATCTGTCAGTAGAATTACTAAAGCATTAAACTGCACGGTCACATTTTTTCCTACACATTGTATTTTTCTGACACTTGGGACGAGGAAGATGATTAACACTGGATATGAGTGAAACAACTTGTACGAACTGAACTTTGCCCCTTTCCAGGTGACATGTATTGGCTCCACATCAGCCTTTGAAGCACATTATCGGCTTGGTCATCCCCCTCTTTTAATTTTTAAAACTTTAATTGCAGATTTAAATCACGTCAAGTCTTTAGAGTGTGAGTCATGTCAACTTGAAAAACACCAACAAGTGTCTTACCCGAGTCGCGTCAATAAGCGAGTAACCCTTTTGATTTAGTACATTCCGGCGTATGGGGTCCTTATTCTAATCCATCCAAACTCAGTTTCTAATATTTTGTTATTTTTGTGGATGATTTTTCTCGCATGACTTGGATTTACTAGCTGAAAAGTAGTTCTGAAATGTTATTTTAAAGCTTACTGTGCTTGAGATTAAAAATCAATTTCACAGTACCATCAAAACTTTGAGAACAGGTAACACTAAAGAATATTTTGAAAGCTCTTTCGTAAAATATTTGGAAGAAAATGGAATGTTACATTAGTCTTCTTGTACTTACACACCCCAACAAAATGGGGTTGCTGAGCGTTAGAACAGATACTTGCTAGAAATTGCTAGGACCTTGTTATCCCATCGTCAAGTTTAAAATATTTTTGGGATGATGCCATTTTGACAGCATGCTACCTGGTCAATAGACTACCCTCATCTGTCTTACAGAATAAAACCCCGATCTCCCTTTTATATCCAACTGAAGACGCCTTTCATTTACCTCCTAAGATCTTTGTATCTCTGTGCTTTATTCACAATCATAGTCCTCAATGGACGAAATTAGATTCACGATCTCTTAAGGCTATTTTCTTGGATATTTCAGGACTCAAAAAGAATATAGATGTTATTGCCCATCTTTAAATCAATATATTATTTTAGCTGATGTTGCCTTCTTTAAGAACAAACCATGACATATTGCCTTTGATAAATTCTTAGACCCTCCCGATGATTATGACTACCTTCTTGTTCGGAAAAACACTGTCAATGTTCCTTCTAAGGCTACTGTCCAGACTGAACTACCATCCACATTTGCTGAACCAGTACAGATTTATACAAGATGTAATGCTTTACAATCTGAACCATCGTCTCAATCCACCCAAGAGCTTGATATACTAGCAAGTCAAAATGTGCTCATACAACCAACTACTCAGGCTACTGATGATCTTCCCATTGCTATCAGAAGGATAAGATATTTGTTCTTGAAGTTCTCGATATCCTCTTACACATTATGTCTCTTACGTTTCTTATCTCCATCACATTACTCATTCATATCTTCTTTAGATTCTTACTCGGTGCCCAAGAATTTGTCAAAAGCTCTATTTAACCCTGGTTGGACAGCGACAATGCAAGACAAAATGGCGACCTTAGAAAAAATAGGACTTGGAATCTTGTTTTCCTACCACCAGGGAAGAAAACGGTTGGCTACAAATGAGTTTACACTGTCAAAGTAAATCCAGATGGCTCTCTAGCTCACCTCAAAGCTCGATTACTTGCGAAGAGGTATTTACAGATCTATGGCCTTGATTATATCGATACATTCTCTCCTGTAGCTAAAATGATATCTATCCGCATTCTTATTTCGCTCTCTGCTTGCTATCACTAGCCACCAAATCAGTTGGATGTTAAAAATGCATTCCTTAATGGCATTCTTGATGATGAGGTTTATATGGAGCAACCTCCAGGTCTTGTTGCTCAAGGGGAATGTGGCAAGGTTTGTAGGTTAAAGAAATCTCTCTACGGTTTGAAGCAATCTCCAAGGGCTTGGTTCAGACATTTTGCTACAGTTGTCCAGACCTTTGGTCTTCATCAAGCTCAGAAAGACCACTTAGTTTTTTGGAGATTTCGTGGTGGAAAGCAGATCTTTTTAATTGTATATGTCGATGATGCACATGGTATTTGTAATTTGAAGTAGTATCTACAGCAACAATTTCAAACTAGGGACCTTGGATCCTTAAAATATTTTTTACGAGCTGATCTGGGTTAAAGATATAGTAACAAAGATTGCTTATCATTTGGGGTGTTCCATGAGCTTGTATGGAGATAACAAGGCCGCCATTTACATAGTGAGAACCCAGTGTTTCATGAGAGGACAAAACGTATAGAGATTGATTGCCACTTGATTCGTGAGAAGATGGAGAAGAGAATCATTAGAGCCAAACACATACCATCATATCATCAACTTGCAGATATTCTTACTAAACCTCTTGGGAGAACACGAGTGAATTTTATTTATAACAAGCTAGGCATGTACAATTTGTATGCTCAGTTTGAGGGGGAGTGTTGAGAGTAGTTGTTTACTATTGTTTAGTCTCACGTCGGTTAGGGACAAACTTCTTTGTTTCCTTGAACACTATAAATAACATCCTAGAGAGAGCTAATAAACTCACTAGGGTTTTCCAAATTACATCCTATAAGTTCTTTTTTTTTTGTGAAAGAGCATTATAACTAGATCCCCTTTGCTCTAGCATTTTGTCGAAGAGACATGAAGGTTCAAGTGCCAACTTGGACATAGATGAGTGTGTGAGAGCTTTTTAAAAAGGATGATAATCCAAAAGGACAAGATTGTTAAATGCCAGTATGCGAAAATGAGAAGGCAGCATGTGGTCTCATCCTTTGCCTGGCTGTGGTTTTAAACCAACAAAGGGGATATGAGATGCTCCTAGCAAATTTGGAAGGTATCTAAATGATTATCGATGGTTATCAGCCTTGGAACTTGCTGCCTTTCCATGCAAGGAGAAGGGATTGCTCCATCCTTGGAATATATAAACTCCTAATAATGCATGCTTAACGGCGTAAACGAGTGGTTCTCTCCAAAGTTTTGTTACTATTAAGAATATGCATAAAAGATCTTCAGAGGCCACTAGAAAGAATTTTAAACACTTTATTGATAAACAAATATTTATGTTGTTTGTTTAATGTCCAATATGGTCGGGATAATTGAGGGTGAGGGAGAAAAAATATACATCAAAGCTCCTAGTCCACTTTTATCTTACTGATGATTTGAAATATGAACATAGAGTCAAGTCAGGGAAGCAGGAGAAGTGAACAAGAGTTTACTTACCCTTGGTCGTGTTGTAACAGCATTGGTGGAGCATTCTGGTCATATACCTTACAGGTACTTGGCTCTTTTTGGCCATTGGCAGTGTCACGAAGTTTCAGTTTTTATGTTTTTAATCTGTTTTACTTATTGACAACTTATGCAGGGACAGTAAGCTGACAAGACTATTGCGAGAATCATTGGGAGGAAAAGCAAAAACTTGCATCATAGCTACAGTATCTCCATCTAGGCATTGTGTAGAAGAAACTTTGAGCACACTTGAGTTTGCGTGTCGTGCTAAGAGCATAAAGAACAAGCCAGAGGTACACTATTTTTCTACATGTTCACCTTTACATTGTTACACACTTACTAAAAGCATCAACATCAATGTTCATAGGTGAATCAAAAGTTATCCAAGTCTGTGCTCCTCAAGGATTTGTACCTGCAGATAGAAAAAATAAAACAAGGTGATCCTAGTACTTCTTAAACTTTTATATACACAATGTGTACAGTATTATGTAATTCTGTCCTCATGATTTTCAAGTAGATGTAAGAGCTGCAAGAGAAAAGAATGGAGTTTATATTCCCTATGAGAGATTTGCTCAGGATGAGACAGAAAAGAAGGTTCTCTTCTCAAATGATATTCATGTCACAAGCTTCAAGTTTTATTATCTGTTTCAGCTTTTTGCTTACTTTTTGAGTGCTCTTTGTATGTTTTAGGCAATGAGTGACAGATTAAGCGAGTTGGAGCTAGATCTTGATCTACAAATAAAGGTTTTTCTTCTCCCTAATCTATCCCAGTTGTTTTTTTATTAATGTATATGTTTACATCTTTAGAATCATAAATGCCACCCTCTCCCTCCCCCTTAAGGAAGCCAGTAAATATAAAGAACTCTACCATGCTGAACAAGAACGTAATTTGGACGTGGAGAGTGAACTTAAAGACTGCAAGGTAAATGAAACACTGTGAATAATCAGCTTCTTTTCTAACTGTACATTTAGGATTAATCATAGAGATTTTGATTTGTAGACAAGTCTAGAAAACAGTAAGAAGGCCTTTCTGGATCTTCAAGAAGTTCAAGCGAAAACTGCTGTGGTATTGAAAGAAAAGGAGTTCATCATTTCAAATTTACTCCATTCAGGTAAGCAAATTAAATATCTGAAACCGGTTAACTTTCCGATTAAGTAACTGACAGTGATATATTTGATTTTTCCACAAGCAGAGAATGCAATTTTTGAACAGGTGAAGGAGATTCACAGCAGTTTGGAGAATGCGTCAGAAGATGTGTCCTTGCTTTTAACTAAGATAGGTAAAAAAAGCAACTTTTATCTGCTTAGAAACACTCTTCAGCATGTTCCAAAATTTTATTGAAGCTGATAGATGAAGTGCTTCCTTTGCAGAACGGCAAGCAAATACTGAAACAGGAAACAAAGGGCTGATTATGTCTTTTGGTTCTCAGCTTGATCAGAGTCTAAAATCCTTACACAAAACTGTGATTGGATCTGTTTGTGAACAGCACCAAATATTGAGATCCATGGGGGAGCACGTCAGCTCATTCATAGCAAAGAAATGTGAGGTACAAGATAATTCTTGATGTGCACATGAACGCAGTGATTAACTGATGGGCAAATGCAATGAAAGTTCACTATCATTTTAAGTAATGCCCTGTGGTCCTTGTCATTTTCAGGTAACTCGATGCTTGGAATCAAGGATTGAGAAAACACAAGATATTTATACTTCAGGAGTTCAGAG